ATAAGGTTCACACTTTAGTAATATTGGCTTCACAGACTCACCGTGTACTGTCACTTTAAACAAAACAAAACAAAAAAAAAACTCTTTTTGGATAATTGGTCAAATGAATAGGTTTATTGGTTTTATTATTTGGTAGATTGCATTGTTTACTTTGAAGTCATTACTTTCTGAGTAAGGTGTTCGACTTACTCTTAATATGGTATAGGCCTATGATATGTATATAACACATGTATGAATTCAAATAATTAACTCTACATTCAGATATAACAATCTAGTAAAATAACAGCATTTTTGTTCTATGTATCTTTGAGAAAACATTCTACTTATTGTCTGCCTGTGGCAATACAAACATAAAGTGTTGTTTTTTTAAGTTAGGCAGGAGGTTTAGAGATTAGTTTATGTTAAAAATGAGATTTATGTATTTTCATGTAGGGACAAAACTCCCTTAGAATGTAGTCATCGATGCCGAAGTGTTTCGTTCACAACCCTGCTGGCAAATCTTGCAACTATGTGGCTTCGGCTCTAAAAACACAATGACATCCTCACTCCACAATCCACAGGCAGAACTTTAAGATGCTGCTGGCAAAGTCTGGCTTTACACTCACAAAAGATGTGCACTTGAGTCTTTAGCTCCCTTGTAAAGAGGACTCCATTGCGGGAAGTGCATACTGAAGAGGAAAGCAAACAGTAAACGGCATTAAATTACCATTCAGATGAACTCATAAATGTAGAAGACTAAGGCCTGGTTTGTGAATTTTTACTCTGTTATAAGGCTTAACGTTTTGTTGACGTTCTGTAAAAAAAATCTTGTTAAGCATTTCCTTGTTTAAAGTGACTGGAAACCTGTTATTGTACTGGAGAATTTAAGAGTAAAAATGAAACAGCTTATCATAACAAAGATTCACATCACGCATCTGAAAAACATGTCCAAGCAAGAAGGGTTATTTGAGTACATGTTTTTCATCCAGCAAACACTTAAGCAATTTAGAGTAAGCTTGCTTTTAGAAGCACTCTTCATAAAATAGGAAAATAATTTTAGACTTCGGCTGCGGTTAGATAGCAGAGTCTACTTTGCAGTCTTGGATGAATTTTTTAAACATTTATTGACCCATCCTCTTTGGGCAGTAAAGCCAGAGTGCAGAATGTGTCGGGATCACAAGGTGTGCATATTAAAACTTTTATACTGGCCTCAGAAGCACCTCTGATCTCTCTGTACTAAGTGCCGGGCTGCAAGGTTGTAAATCACGAGCTGTGAGAGGAATATCTCATCGGCTGCTAGCATTGGGCCGCCTGCGCTGGGATTATAAGGAATCAAAAGGCCACGTATAGACTAATGCCACACAAGCCCCTGAGAAATCTGAGACAAAACGGTTCAACGCCACAGACCCTGCACACCACACTCTGTCATCTCAAAGGGGGAAGCTGGCAATAGGGCCTATAAGGTGTCTGCATATGCATAAATTACAAAAAAATAAATAAAAAACGTAACAAAACATGTATTTCTTTGGAACTGACTGATCATAAGCCTCATTGATGTGAGCTTATGCTCCTCATTTAATGAGTAAAAAGCAGAATTTGTTGACTAAAAAACTGAGATGCATAATCTCAGATCAATGAGGCCTATGATAATTCAGTTCCAAAAAGAAATACAAAACCTGTGCTGATTGAAAGAAAACAAGTTGATAAAAAGATTTAATACAATATTCGGCAATTATTTGTAGGATGGTCATTTTTGACAGGGAACACAACAAGTGTAACAAAGAAAAAAATTCAAAATAAAATAAATAAATGGTTTCATCATTAAAATGTATAAAAAAAACAATCATGTTAAAGGTTAGAATAACTTGAATGGTTGAATACTACTTCACATTACATGTGTGATAATGCACTTGGTTTATGAGGAATGGTAGCCTATCCTGTTTTAATCTTCTTTAAGGTCAATAGGGTAGCACCAGTCTTTTGGGGGGTTTATTAAAAAGGATAAAGCTTCCCACTAGACACATGCGGCCAAGTGCTTTCCCTGTGGGAATGCTCAAAATCCTTGTATCTGTCTCTTCATCTACTTTCAACACACACAAATACTATTTGCACTATGGAGTTTTGACATTATGGTTTATGTTAGCATGTGCTTTTCTAACAACATGCTCCTGCATTTTTATTTATTCTTTAATGACATTTTGAAACTCTTGGAATTTCTTTCCAGCCTCAAGGAAATATACAGTATATCATACAGATCCCGAACAGCAGACGGTTTGCTCAGTAAAGGAAGGAATACGTTGCAACTCGCCGTCCAAATGAATAAAAAAGGCGTTTATTACCTTCCAAGTGGAGCACTTCAGTCTGTCATATCTTAAGTGAGGAACACTTAAAACAAGTAAAGCGAGATAAGCAGCGGTTGTTGAATGGTTACTTCCTCTCGACCCCTGGGAGGACGTATCCATCAACAGATGCCCTCGGGTGGAGGATAACAAATTTGTTCTTTTATGAAGCTTGCATAACACCGCAGGGGGACTCATAGGACGGCCGCATGTGGCCGGATATCGCATTCTGTTCAGTTCAAACCACATTCCCATGGTTTCCAAGAGTGTTAACGTGACGTGCTTCAGCGCGAAGTTTCAGAACACTTGCTAGAATCAGTGGCTGTGTCACTAATCGGAATATTGCTCCATATAGCTTTGGGAACGAATAAGCTAAAAATAAAAAATACAAATATTGAGGGCATAATATATAAACAGGCAAATTATGTAATGTAAATTATTTAGCATAGCCAATTTGTAAAAGAAAAAAAAAGTCACAACCGAATAAAATCTGTTTAAAAATATTTTTGGCACAGTAAAACTGATATTGTATTATTCATTTATTTAATATTATATAAGAACTGAAAACAAGGTTTATAAAATGCAATCATTTTGAGAGGTGCAGCTGGCTGAGACGCGAAAGTGCCGGATAGCCTATTTACCAGCTCTGCTAATTTTTATATTGACTCTTCATGCTTAAATATGTACCTTAGATTTAGTAAACTATCAATTCTGTGGGAAACAGCTCCCAAAAGGAGGGCAGAATTAAGGACCCTCATCTAGCAGTGTGATCAGGAACAGCACGTCTGGTTTGTCGGCAGCAGACAGCGCTCATTAGTGTGTTTCAATGGTCCAGGCCCCTAGAGGGCATTATTGGTGCACTCACGTGAAAGTCAGCAGAGACCTTCTGAAGAATTAATTTAAATGCACCTCACAGTTACACAACCTGTGAACAATTGTGCAACAGTGGAAGCGTGTAAGTGAGACATATACAGTAAGAATTTAACATCAAATGTGCATCTAATCCTCAGTTGTGGAGTTTTATTTTTATGTCTAATGATTTTTTTATTATTATTATTTTTATAATGCTATTCTATCAATTCTTGACAATATCAGTTTGAAATATTTAGAATGTCACAATGCAAATTCTCAAGAATCTCACAATAAATGCATCATTAGTTGGGTCATTCTGGTTGTGCAGTACAGTTCATTTCATCATAATATTCATCATAATTTATTGGATGACATAAGAAAAACAGGTTTTAAGAATGTAATTCATATTAGTTCATTTTCATCACAATTGCGATGACTTTGAAATGTTTTCGCTGCTTTGGTGATCTGAGATACAATAGATGTTGTCATTTTTGCCATGTCATTAAGAACTTCATGAATGAAAAATCTGTCAATTTTTAAGACCACAGCACAAGCATTAGTAAGTGGATTTTTAAAAATATTTTATTTAAAGCTTTTCACATTTTAAAGAACAATCCCCCCAACCCCCATGCCATCAAATCGAAGGAAGTTGAAAGAAAAAAAAAAATAAATATAGTACATATAGTACAATTGAATACATATACACCTCCATAAACAAACACCGTTCATATTGTGTACTTATACAAAAACATATACAGACATATCTACGTATACACACAGAATCATTAAGAAAAAAAATTAAAATATTCCAATACCAATACCAATAAATACCCAATTATGGAAAAAGTAAAATTGTTACACACTAATATATTTGATCAACTTAACCACACCACTTAAAGAAGAAGTTTAAATTCAGTTATCCTTGGTCACCTTCCAAATATTCAAAGAAGGACTTCCAGATCTGTACAAATCTCTTTGGTTTACCCACAATCTCATATCTAATCTTTTCCATATATGTAACACACTGAGCTCTGTAAACCACGTCTCAAATTTAGGTGCAAACTCTTTGTTCCACATCAACAAAATTGTCTTTTTTGCTATGGTCATCCCATATTGACCTGTCTGGATTTGATTGAAACTATAGTTCTCTAAGAAAGGGGCCCAGCAAAAAGAGGGAGAAGTGGATTTTGTGATGTGATGTTTGGTATGTTTGCACCTCACAAATATACTATACCAACCTGGTACGTTTTTACACACACACACACACACACGCACACACACACACACACACACACACACACACACACACACACACACATTTACT